GACAGAAAGCTCATCACGTGAAATCAGTATCAAGATGATGCTCATTTGTTGTTGTTGTTTTTATGTGAGAGGGGGATAGTGCATTTGGAGCTCATTCCACCAGGTCAGACTGTTAATCAAGCTTTCTATTTAGAGGTTCTGAATAGATTGCATAACAGTGTGGGACAAAAAAGGCAGGCCCGATTTGTGGCAGACAGGGACTGCTTTTGCCACCACAACAGTGCACCTGCTCACACAGCCATCTCAGTTCCCCTGATTTTGGCCAAAAAGAGTGTGCCTCTCTTTCCCCACTCATCTTACTGACCTGACATCTCTGCCTGCAACTTTTTGTGTTTCCACAAATGAAGAGGGACATGAAAGGACTGATTGGAGGATGTAGAAGAGGTGAAGAACAAAACGAGGGAGGTGCTGTCAGCCATCTAAACAGATGAGTTGGAACAATGTTTTCAAGAATGGAATCACAGATTTGATCAATGTAGTAAGTGTAATGGAGAGTACTTCGAGGGTGATAAGATTGTTTTGTAAAAAATTCAGATACATATATTTGAAAAAAGAAATGTTATTTTGGGGGACGGGGGGCTACCCCTCTGTATTTGTTGCTTCCTTACTCTGTTCTGGGCACGGCCAGCTTGGGTGGGGGTCAGGGAGATAGGCTGCCAGAAGTGCTGACGGCATACTTTCTCTGCAGGGACTTTTTAAAAAAACAAAACTTTTATGGGAGAGAATTACAAGTTCACCTGCATTTGTCAGAAATAATAGCGATGCTTATCCATCACTACAGGGAGAAAGTGTTATTCGTGATGAACATAAGACAGTTTCTTGCTCGCTGGGATGAAACCGCAGGCAGGACACGCACACTGTGTGAATGGAAGGACAAGGAGGCAGTGTGCCTGTCGGCGTCAGTACTTCTGTATTAGGTTGAGAAAGGGAAAGAAGAAGTGAGGGAAGCCACTCACTGCCATTGAGTTAGTGCTGACGCAGTGACCGCCTGTGGGTTTCTGAAACTGTAAAGCCAGTCTTTGTCCCAAGGAGCTATTGGTGATTTCAAACTGCTGACCACGCAGATCGCAGCCTAACACATATCCACTACACCACCAGGTCTAAGGTAAACCATGATCCAGGTAAAAGGGAGGTCATGGGTGTCTGTGTACTTCTTACTCATTAGTTCTTTCTTGGCTCCAGTGTTTTGAATGCAGGTGATGGACCTCTTGTCAACCCCAAGCCTATTTCCTACATTTTGTGATTTTGATGCAGTGCTCTGGTTTTCTGGAGAATCTGACTTACTGAAGAAATGTCTTTTGTTTTTAGAATGACAGTCGCGAATGGCAGCGCCACGAGCACCATGAGAGGCGGCGGCGTGGTGACCCCGAGCCATTGTCCAATGGACAGCCACAGAGCAACACGCGGCAGGTGGTGGAACAAGACGAAGAAGAAGATGAGGAGCTGACGTTGAAATACGGTGCCAAGCATGTGATCATGCTCTTTGTCCCAGTGACGCTGTGCATGGTGGTGGTTGTGGCGACCATCAAGTCGGTCAGCTTCTATACCCGCAACGATGGGCAACTGTACGTATGAGTGTTTAATTTGCTTCTTCCCAGAGCAGTGTGGTGTTCCTCACAGCAGGTCCTCTTCTCCTGGAAGGCCTTGGCAGGAGAGCCACAAGAAGGCTCAAACGTCCTTCCTCTGATGGCCAGGCGCAGTCACAATAGGCAGGACTTGAAGGATGCACAGTTGCTTTTCTCACAGGGTATCACTAGATAGACCCGATTAAGACCACTGTTCTGCCTAGACTATTCTTTCTTTTTGTAATTTTACGGGGTTTATTCTTAACCCCATTTGGGCTTGAATGTTAGGTCCTTAAAGATAATGTCCATGAGCCTCCTAACTGAATTAGTCCTTCCTG